TTATAATAAATATTATATCGATAATAATTATATTCTATCGGTATATTATTATTAGTATAATTTATTTCGTTCAATGTACTTTTATGATTATGTAAATTATTATTCAAATACCTTATCGGTATCAAAATTTTTTGTGACCTAATATTTGTACATTGTTTTATTTTTTATTTAAAATTGTTGAAAGTATTATTTGAGAAATAAGAAATTATTTTAAAGACAAGTAATACTTTATTAAATCCAATAATATTTGTTCAATTTTTAAAAAAAAATGAATTTCAATTCTCTTTATATTATGTAAGTGATGGACATACCCTATCGATGTGACGTTACTTGACATGATTATTGTGTGATAAAGAAAATAGTTGAATATTTGTTTAAATTTTTTTTTTCAAAACTTTAATCTTAGTTCAACTATTATTCTCTATCAAGTGGGAGAATTTACATGTCAATTGTAAAATTGAGAAACAAATATTATTTATTTATTACATTATAGAGACTTATGTTGAGAATATTATATTCTTATGTTAGTGATAAAGTTTATGACTATTTATATGTTATATCCTCAATAATAGTTAAATTTAAAGTCTCATATTTTTCCGTTGCGTATAACATAATATGTTTCTCAAATGTGTATAGTTATATATATATATATATATATATATATATATATATATATATATATATATATATATATATATATATATATATATATATATATATATATATATATATATATATATATATATATATATATATATATATATATATATATATATATATATATATATATATATATATATATATATATATATATATATATATATATATATATATATGTAGCATTTGAGTTTTGAGTGAGTTATTAATTCTATATTCTATTTACTCAAATAATGGTAAATCTTTTTTATATGATCATCGTACTCTTTCATGTGAAATTATATATTTAATACTAGTGAACTCTGATAAAGCTTTATTGGCTCAATGGGAGTGCATATGTACATAATTATATAATCTAAAATTTTAGATTATTATTCTTGTATAGTCATATAATTTTTGTATATTAAAAAATATGACATATTCTAAGAAGACTTCAAAATATATAATAACTCTAAGAAGTCTTATTCTATTATACTGAGATATATATTATTATCTTAATTTCAAGAAACATCATAATTTGATGTTTAGGTCAATATTGAAACAACACAATAATTCTTTAACATGCGATAGTATTGTGTTATTCTATCTTCAATAGTCCACATTTGTCAGGTTATAATATGAAAGTACAAGTAAATATCAATACTCCTATTGAGTATGATATTGTATTATAAAGGTACTTATGATTAAATGTAATTACTATCGTAATAGGATATCCCTATATGTAATTAGGGATGTAAATGGATATCCATGGGGACGGATACTATGATATTCGTATCTGCCCCGTTAGATAAATATGATATCCATATCCGCCCCATATCCATGCGGATATCTGTTAAGCGGGTAATCCACGAGTTTTACGGTATCCACGAATATTTACAGATATCCATGGATAATACTTTTTTATAAAAAAAAAAATTGAAAAAATTATTTTTAACTTCTTTTAAAGACACAAAAATTTATTATCACATAACATCCATACAAAAGGTTCGACAGAGGAATGATGGAAGATCAGACGATAGAGGAGTAGGAAGGGAGGCACTAGTTCGACAGAGGAATGCCGATATTAGTTGGTTGGACTGTAAAATTGATGTTAGTTGGTTGGACTGTAAAATTGATGAAGTGAGGTATGAAGTATCAAAGAGTTTAAATATGAAATGACTAATAGAATTTAAATGAAAAGTGAAAGGTTTTCTTCAAAAAAAATTTTTAAAAAGAAAGAAGTATAAGAAGACTAATTTTTTTAGAAGATGCAAAGATAAAGTATAATAAACTAATGATATTTAAATAATTTTTATAATTTATAAACGGATATGGATATCCGCGGGTATGGATATCATTAAACCCATATTCATATCCATTAACAAACGGGTATTTAAATATCCATTTATTTTATCCATGGATATCCATTAAGCTACCTGCCCCATATCCGTGGCAGATTTTATCCACGGATATCTGCGGGTATGGATATTTTTGTCATCCTTATATATAATTGCTATTCTTAGACATATGTGGATATTCTATGGCCTATAATTTAAAATAGATTAGTAAAATCACTGACCATATCTTATACACATGAGTAAGTCTTATAAAACTTTGGGTTAGTGTAAGTTTATCAATAACATTTTCATATGTTTGGGTCATTCTTTATAACATATTAATCTTAAATTAATATGTTACTCTAAATTCATCATTCTTTGTATAAAGTTTTGAGTTTTAACATGTATGATTTGTCTTCCCTATCGGATACAATTTCTGCAGCTTTAAAATTTAATTCTTTTTTATCGATTAATATTTTGACCATTATTGATATTCTAATATTAAAATTAATATTTTTAATAATTAATTATTATCTTTTAAGTGGGAGATGGTTAGATTAATTATTTAATAAATCAAATATAGATTGATATAACTAATTATTAATTAATTATATTATGGTCTATTTTTATTAAAAACTAAATAGATAAATTGTTTGATTGAGTTTTGTGTCTGAATGAACCGCGATGAGTTGGACCATTCAGTTAAGTCCAATGTGTGGTCCCCGTACTCGGTCGTTTAACTATTTAAGTATCTCCTCATTAGACAATTAACATACTTTGAAAATCTTAAACAATAATGAGGATAGTAATTCTCTCATACTCACTCTTATGACGACCGTCTCTCAAATCGTACAAGATACACTCTTCTTATCATTGTTGGTTATTTTTTAATATAACAATATACTAGAATTTGTATCTATTCAATCAATATAAAATCTATCAATCAGAATATGCATGAAATCCTCAGATAAACGCAAATTCAACTCACTTCTATCCTTTCTTCACTTCTTCTACTCTTCAATAGTCCTTAGGATGAAGGTGTTAATGTGTTCTTTTTGTTGTTTGTTGTAATTGAGAGTGTGTGGAGATTGATGAGTGTTGAGTTTCAGAGAGAACTCCGAGAGTGTGATTGGTAAATTTCTGTGATAATGACTGGTGAGTTAATGAAATTGGATGTGATGAATTTATAGATTTAGATATTTAACGGTGTTATGCTCTGTTACAAATTTCAAGTACAAGTCAGTTAACCGTTATAACACTGTTAGATGATTCAGTTAAGTTAGTTTGGAAATCTGTTAGAGTTAAAATTCAGTTATAGTTCTGTTAGCTGTTATTGTTCCTTACACCTTGTAGTTAGCATTTGGTGGTGAGTTAAAATTAGTTGACAGTTGTGGAATAGAGTGTTAACTGGTATGAAGTTAGTTATCTGTGGTAGTTATTTATGTTGAACTTCTTGCTAAATGTCAGTTAATGTTATGCTATTGTGAGTTTTTACTGTTACTATCATGTGAATGAATTGTTAGTTAATTTAGTTGAATTTTTAGTATGACAGTTAGCACTAGTTTGGAATTTCCTTGGTTAGGCTATGATACGGTTAGAAACCAGTTTGGTATAAATGTTCTACCATTTTTAATTTGTAACTGAATGTGACATTTACCTTTGTAGACAAATAAAATGGTTTTATCGTAAAATCATAATAATTATTTTGGTTGTATACCAAATATAACAACTATCCCTTGGTAGAGTCAGTTGGCCACCATTATATGAAATAAAATTTTATCTCCTTATTAAACTTTCTTCACTAATTCATGATTTTTTTTCTTTCAAATAAAACTAATCTCGTAATATTATTCAGCTAGATGTATTTGGTGTGTCGTTTGATTCAACATTCTCTACTACAGACAACTTGTTAACACGATTTCGAGCAATCTCAACCTGCAAAAATTTACATGCAACTTTTAGCTTCTTCGCTTCAAAAAATGAATATTGTTTTCATACTCATAGAACCAAAGTAAACCAGTTACCTGCTTGTCCCAATCAGTTTTAAATGTGATTATGATAAGTATTATTGTTTGAACAAAAATTCCAAACAACATTCCAATCCAAACACCCTGAAAAAGTCATACAAATTTAACAATATTCTCTCTAAATTATTTGGTAGGTATATTTTTTATCATCTAAACTTATTGAAATAATATTTAACTTTTCACATTGTACAAAGATAAATGAATTACCTTAACTTGCAAATGGAGAACATAACCAAGTACTAGTCCAGTAGGGATACCAATAAGGTAATAGCTGCCTATGTTTACACATGCTACAACTTTTTGCCACCCAGCTCCAACAGAAACTCCTATATATTCACAACATTATTAGTTCAATTTGAATTTTTTGTCGTATTATGAATCACTTGTATTATTAAAGGTATAAGGGTCTCGCAAAATATTTGTCACGGATATATCGTGACAGAATAGGACCTCTATTTGATTCACCACGTTTAAACTGTAGTTAACCTACATAGATCTCTAAAAACTTAAAACGGTCCTAGTGTCTGAGATCTGATAACCAATCAAAATTGAGTGTAAGATGATGTTAAATATTTACCAGTGAGCACAGGTTGGATACTATTCAACAATATGGAAAATGAGAGCAAAAGTGATAAATCTCCAACTGCATTAGCCACATTTGGATTTGGGGTGAAAATGTAAGCAATTCTTTCCTTTAGGAACAGAAAGATCAAGAATAGTACAAATCCAATTGCAAATGATGTGAGCACTGTTATCACAATGGAAAATTTTGCTCCCTTTGAACTTCCTCTTCCAAGTTCATTTGAAACCCTAACACTGCAAAATAGAAAAATAAAACACCATTCAATTGCTTTGTAAAGTTTGATTTATGAATGGAAACCTTGAAGATAACAATGAATTACCTAGCTCCAGCCATGAAACCAAATGCTACCATCGTTTCCCATCCATTGATGTTCATGCTGCAAAAATCATAATACGATTTAATCAATATATTCATTTCACTATAAAGATGCTAAATTTTGTTGAAGAAAAAGTGAAACTTATATTACCATATGGACAAAGCATCAATAGCAATCTCAGCATTTTTCATATTCCCTGTTATAAGAATCAAAATTGTGGTGTACCATATTTCAAGACTGTAAAAATAAACACAACTCTTTATCAGTCTTATGACTCTTTTAGTTCAACAAATCGTGCATAGTCCTCTAAGAAATTATTTGCGAAAAAATCTTACCATACCATAACTCCAGAAGACAAAGAAAGTTTGGTAACAGACCAAAGATCATTGAAAGCCAAAAACGAGAAACCCTTCCATGTATCAGGACACTTTTTCATGATATAAAAAAGTTGGCCTAAAATCGGTATCCAATAAGCCAAAAGGATGGATGTCATTGCGCCATTAAGTCCAAACTTGAACTTAACAGTTAAAAGCCATGACAGAAACACATGAATTGAAATTGAAACTGCTGCAAGGTAAGCAATAATCTTGTTCTTGCTTTGTGCTTGTAGAAACATTTGACAAGTGAATGAGACGCTGAAAGCAAATATGATACCGATAGACCATAATGAAATGCTTCCAGCAACTATTGCGACGTTTTTATCTTGGCCAAGTGCCTCTAATATCGGAATCGTGAAAATGTATATTGGAAGTAGAAGAATTGTGGCCAAAAATATAACTATCCATGATCTTTGAAGATAAACTCCAAGTATGTCATATTGTTTTGCTCCATATGCTTGTCCACATATAGTTTCTAATGCACTTGCCATACCCAACTACAATTTCAACAACAACAAAAAAAACATATGAAAATTACGTGATTTTAGTAGTTTTCAATTTTTGACTTCTAGAATACAATTGCAATTGAGGTCGCCTCAGGGATAACCAAAGCAACCTTTGAGATTGTCCAAGATGGAAAATAGCATACAATCTAAAAAATTTAAGATAATTTTGCAGTACAACAAATAATGTTTTTTATTACGAAATTTTCACCAAGAAAAATATAAAATCAAGGGTGTACCTAACAGGAGTGTCTTGTTTTTTAAAAAAGAAAATTAATCTGTTACATCAATTTTATGAAAAGTCGACATAAATATATATTTTGGGTTTGAGATTCGATCTTCAGTTCCTACAATTTTATGTTTTATATGGAACTTAAAAGACGTTTTTAACTTTTTAGATTTTATGTTGGATATCTTATCTTGGTTTTCATGAAAACCAAGATAAATATTTTATAATTTTTTTTTTTATTTTTAGAACTAAACAGGCGTCTTTATATTTTAAAGATTTTACGTCGAATATGTTGCTTCGGTTTTTAGTATAACCGCAATAAATACTCATTATATTTTTTATTCCTTCAGTGTTTATCTCATTCAGTTCTGAAGTCATAACAAAAGAACACTTCTTCTTCAGCCAACAAAGAAATATTTATTCTTCAAGGAGCCCTAGCGAATCAAAAACTCCCTCACCATTATTCTGCGGTATGTTATTATTGTTGTTGTTCTTATTGTTGCTTTGTTCCATTTTTGTTGTTCTTGTTATTCTCCATTGTTGTTGTTGTTATTATCGTTTGTGTATTATTTTTATTTTTTTCCAGAAGTTTTATGTGAATATGGATCGTAGTTGGATGAAATACAATAGGAGTTTTATGTCACTCATTCTTCTAATACTAGATGATCAATTGTTCTTCAAGATAAATATCTTCCCATAATACGGATGAAAATAAAGATTTTAACTATGAGACGCCTTGTTTAGCAACACATATATGTCAAGCATCTGAAGAAAATGATTCAGATGATGTGCATATTATTCATCGTGATCATGAAGAGAGATATGGAAAAGCTAGTAAGTAAATGTTTTATATCACTTTGAAATTTATAATTAATCATTTTACTCCTTTTTAATTATTATACTATATATTTAAATTTGTTATTGATTGAACTAATTAGTTTCAAATTTTGTTCAAACAATAGGTGTTTAAAGACCAATGACAAATCTTATTGGACAACTTAGAAAACTTTTCATTTTATTTATTGTTTTTGTTTTATAATCTTTGGTTTTAGTTTTGAAAATGATTCAGTAATTAATTCTATAATATACAAGTTACAAAAAATAAGGTTCTATATATGCATTTCGTAGTTAATGTTAGATGTGTTATTTGTAACAATACTGATGATAATCGATCATGATTCTATGTGATATTAAAATTGTGATGGCAATTGAAAAGATTTAGGTAGAAATAACATACCAAAATACCATTAGCAAATCTGACTAGGACAGTCATAACAATCGCATAGGCAGCTAGTTCAGTAGGGCCAATGTGACCAATAAAGGATTGACTAACTACGGTGATTCCAAATGTTGAAAATCTATGGAATATGGCAGGACCTGCTACTATCCACATTTTCTTGCTTTCTTGCCATACTCTTTTCCTTAACGACTCTTTCTCCTTTTCTGGTGTGTTTTGATGCTGTAAATGGTTGTTCTCAATCTCTTCTTCCATTTTAACTTCTTCTACTATGGAGTTTGCACTATGTCTTATAACAAGAATGTGTTTGATTTTATAAGCTTTAATACACAAATTTTATTTTCTTTAATATTCTCATCTAGTAAACTTTATTTATTTTGTATCAAAAACAATGTTTACCTTAATTTTCTTTCTAAAAAGATGTATTGTTATTATTTTAGTAAATTTTATTTTTCCATCACTAGATTCATACATTCAAAAAATTTTGTTGTTGTAAAATTCAATGTACAAACTAAAAGGGACTGAATCTAACAAAATAAACTTTTTTTTTACCATATAATGAATGATCAAATTAAAGAGAGAAAAATTCAAAGTACAAAACAATTTCTCTTTATGTAATTAGTTAAGGAAGAAAGTAAGAAACTTCTATTTTATATAACTTAAAATTTATTCCATATTTAATTATTAATGTATAATTTAGTCAAATTTTATTTATATTCTTTAATATTTAATTGTTAACATATAATATTATTTAACTGTTATATTTTTATTAATATATAATGTTCTTTTTATTTGTCTTAAATTATTCGTCCCTTTAAAATATCGATATAAGTTTTATTATTTATTTTATTAACTTACTCTAATTTATTTTATTTTAAATTATGTAACTACTTCATTATCTACTTTTAATAAGATTATTTTAATAAATACTATTTATTTTATTGTTAAAATTAAACACAATTAATTATTATTTTTTAAAATATATGAAAATTTTAAAGAGAATATTTATTGTGAGACTGAAAGAATAATAAATATTGTTATTCTTTTAATTGTATAGAGACAAAAGTAATTAGTTATCTACTTGTCCCAGTCAATTTTAAGTGTAATTGTGATAAACTGTACTTATTGGTAGCTAAGCTACTTTAGTGTTCATATATTCGATAAGCTTTGAATCCTAAAATCTCTTATAAATTTAAGAAAACATTGCCACCAAATTTATCATTATAGTCTTTTTATTTTTAATTTTTATTATTAAGGGTGAAAATAGGTTGGATCGAGGTAGACTTTGTCAAGCCTAAGTTTAACCTGTAGTTTGTCATAAGTTTATTTTAAGACTTGAGTCTGACCTTTTTTAAGACTTGATTAGTCTATTAGCCTACATAAAAGCTTTTTATTTTAGACATATATAAATAAGCAATTAAAATAATGTTTAAATAGACTAAAAAATTAAAAAAATCAATGAGACTAAAAACTTGTTTGTATTGACTTATTTTAACTTATCTATTAGTATAAGTTTTGTGAAATTATTTGTTTAAAATAAGTTATGAAAACAACTTATAACATTATATATAAGGTGTTTTTTTTTCTTATTTTAATAAGTTCTTGTACAAAACATAACATAATAATACTGATTAATTTAAATAATACTATAATAAATTAATTTAATAATAAATATTCATAACAGATAAAATAAAATCTGAAAAATGGGTATTGACGCGACACAGATAATCATCCATTAAAATAAACTAGTATAAATATGGATACAAATACCTTAATATTGACCATGTCCCATACTCACACAATATATACTTATATATTATAATTTATATCATCGTATAAAAATGTAAGTCTATCTCTTTAAGAAAATACATCACAATTAAATTATTACTTGTTTTAATATAAGTGTTAAACTATAACATCTTTGAATCTTTTCTTAATTTTATTAAGAATTTAAAATGATATTATATTTTTTAATTGATAAAATAATTCTTATTAGAACTACGAGTAACAAGTATCTTAACATACAAATAATAGTATAAAGATGGATGATAATTAATATTGTTACTTTAAAGAGAAGAAAACAATGTATACCAACAAAAACTAAAATTAACCTTACATATGTTTTTGACACATATGTGATTCTTATATAAATTATTATTATTATTATTATTATTATTATTATTATTATTATTATTATTATTATTATTATTATTATTATTATTATTATTATTATTATTATTATTATTATTACTATTACTATTATTATTATTATTATTATTATTATTATTATTATTATTATTATTATCATTATTATTATTATTATTATCATCATCATCATCATCATCATCATCATTATTATTATTATATTATTATTATTATTATTATTATTATTATTATTATTATTATTATTATTATTATTATTATTATTATTATTATTATTATTATTATTATTATCATTATTATTATCATCATTATTATTATTATTATTATTATTATTATTATTATTATTATTATTAAAGAGAACATTTGTTGAGCCAAAAACAACCCGACGACAAAAGTCCAATGCAATAAAAATCAGCAAGACAAAGAATCAACTTAAAACTGCATAAGGTTAGCTAAGTGTCTCATAATTCTAGGATAACATCATCATCTATAAGTAAAAGTATCGATAACTATAATTCTGATACCTATGTTATTTACATTATCACCAAAAATAAAACTATTTCTATATCTCTAAAGCTCATATATGACTTCGGCCACAACACTACGAATCATAAGAGCTTTTCAACCTTTGCCTCTAGCAACATCAATAAGTTAAAGCAACTCCTCAATCCAATCTTTGAGTTCATGGTTGATTTGCAGCCAAGATAACACCTTCTACTAAGAGATCTTTAGACTTGGACATCAGAAGAATAAATGATCAATTGTTTTAACTTGATTACAAAACACACAATTATTATTTTCAATCATACCAAACCGCTTGAGGCAATCCTTAGTTGTCAATCTTCCATGGCAGGCTAGCTAGAGCGTGAAAAGTTCCCTGGAACGAGCAATACTCCTATGAAGCAAACTTTTCCAACTCACAACAGTACCAACACCAATCATATGCTGATAAAAAAATTTCGTTGCAAACTTCGTGGTCATTGCATCCCAATCATCCATGTTGTTCATAACATCCCTAAGCTTTAGAATACCATTGACAACCCAAGACATACTATCAGTATTATACCTTTAGTTTCTTATCCTAATATAACTAGATAAGTTTAGTGTACAGTTGGCATAATATTATTTGTTCACACAAATACTTGTATATATACTGATATCATAACTGTATTGAGTTAGTTAGATGAAATATAACAAACTTTGCTTCCTCATTGCTTCTTCTTCTTTACGTTACTTCTTTTTCTTCTTTCTGCTATGGCTTCATTGCACATTATCAACATGGTATCAGAGCTTCAAAAGCTCTGGTATCAATTGTTCTTTCTTTTGCGATCTTTGTTCATCTCCTTTGTGAGTTCTTTCTGTTTTTCATCTTTCATCTTTTTCTTGATCGCTTTTTCTTTTTCTGTTATTCAATGGCGCACCAGAGCTACGCCGATTTCGCCACTAATTCTGCAAATCCCTACTATCTCCATCCGAACGAGAATCCAACTTTAGTTCTTGTTACACCTTTGCTCACTGATAAAAATTACCATACCTGGGGTCGACCGATGCACATTTATCTTATCTCCAAGAACAAAGAGAAGTTCATTGATGGAACTCTAACCAAGCCACCTGTTTCGGATCCGATGTATGCACCATGGATCCGTTGTAATACCATGGTTCTTGCGTGGATTCAACGATCAATTTCGGAACCAATAGTGAAGTCTGTTTTGTGGATTGATACAACATTTGGCGTATGGAAGAATTTTCAAATTAGGTTTTCTCAAGGCGACATATTCCGCATATCTGACATTCAAGAAGACTTGTACAAATTCCGTCAAGGTACTCTCGACGCCTCTAACTATTTTACACAACTGAAGGTTATGTGGGACGAATTGGAGAACTATCGACCGATTCATTTTTGTTCTTGCACAATTCCCTGTTGTTGCGGTGCCATAGCATCTGTTAAACGGTATAGGGAACAAGATTACGTAATTCGCTTTCTCAAAGGATTATCTGAGAAATTTTCTCACTCAAAATATCAGATTATGATGATGAATCAGTTGCCTGATATTGACAAGGCCTTCTCGCTTGTGATTCAACAAGAACGAGAAATGGATAGCTCTGCATCAAGTGTTGTTGCCCCTACAGGTTCTACTGAAGAAACCTCTGCCTTACATGTTCAATCTCGGGAAGGGAACCATTCTGGTAGACAAGGTTCCAACACATATCGTGCTAAGATTCAAGGTTCAACTTCTGTAAAAGGTTCTAACAGAGTTTGTACTCACTGTGGCCGGATGAACCATACTATTGAAACTTGTTTCAGCAAGCACGGATACCCACCAGGTTACAGATATAAATCCAAGGCTCAAGGGTCTGCACCATCTTCATTAGCTGTAAATGCTAGTAATGCATCTACATCCTCTTCTCAGGGTTCAGAACCATCTTCATTTGGTTTTACTAAGGAGCAATATGACAGCATCCTCGCATTGATTCAGCAATCCAAGCCTCAACCTGTTGTCAATTCTGTCTCAACATCACCTTTTGTCATGCATTCTCACTCAACCAATGTGAATGGTAAGCACCCTCATCTTTGGATCCTTGATACTGAAGCTACTGACCATTTCTCTTTTGATTTATCTTCCTTTATTACACATAAGATCATAGTCCCCATCCATGTTAGCCTACCTGATGGTTCACAAGTCATGACTTCCATTTCTGGCACAGTAGCTATATCACCTTATCTCACTCTTCACAACGTGCTTTATGTTCCTAGCTTTAATGTCCACCTTATATCTGTAGCTAAACTTGTTGCTAGTAATCAATGTTTTATTCAATTTCGTGCTAACACGTGCCATATTATGCAGAATCATACCAAGGCAATGATTGTTATAGCTATCTTACACAGGGGACTTTATGTTCTTGACACCACACCTTCACTTTCTCATGCTAATAATTCTTTTGTTCATACTTCTGTTTCTCATACATCTTGTAATTTGTGGCACTTAAGGCTAGGCCACCTATCTGATATTGGTTTACACACCATCTCAAAGTATTTTCCTTTCATTTCTTGTAATAAAGATAATGTACTATGTGACTCTTGTCACTTTACT